CATTGCTGGCACATGATGGCATATATCAGATTGGTAGATGTGCAGTTGAACAAGCCCCTGATGGTGTAGCTGATGTGGTTAGGTCCTATGATGGTGTCCCTTGGATAGATATGCGGACAGAGTTGGCAACGGGGTTTGTTGCAGGGATTGGTTCCTGGGTTAGTGTTTTTGTTGTATGGTGTTTAGTTGCTGGTGAGTATTTGCTTCAGGTTGGGGGGCTGTCTGTAAGCGAGGATGGCCTGTCTCCCCAGGTCTGTGAGAGTGAGGGATCGTCCTTCAGGATAGGTTGTAGATCCTTGATGATGCGCTGGAGAGGTTTTAGTTGGGGGCTGCAGGTGATGGCTAGTGACGTTCTGTTACTTTCTTTGTTGGGCCTGTCCTGTAGTAGGTGACTTCTGGGTACCCTTCTGGCTCTGTCAATCTGTTTCTTCACCTCACCAGGTGGGTATTGTAGGTTTAAGAACGCTTTATATAGATCCTGTAGGTGTTTGTCTCTGTCTGAGCGATTGGAGCAAATGCCGTTTGTATCTTAGAGCTTGGCTTTAGACAGTGGATCGTGTGATGTGGTCTGGATGAAAGCTGGATATGCTCCACACTTTGCAGGTCTGAGCCCTTAGTGAACATAATTTTTCTAGCCCTTGATTAAATATCTCCTCTGAAAGAAAACTTCTCCAACAGCATGCATATTTTATAGAGGAGTGTGTGAGTATGTATATACAGCTACTGTGTGTGTGTGTGTGTGTGTTAGGTAGCAAGGACTATAGTTAAGGTTGCCAAATGCTTTCCGTTATAAGACCTTTTTTTTTAGTTGCTTATAAATTTTGTCAAATTTTAACCATTTGGGCTGAAAATTTACATGCCAGGTATATACCTCGGGCTGAATTTTGTTGGGGAAATTTCAGGAAAAATTGTTGAGCCATTTCTTCGAATTAGATGAGGAAAATATTGTTCTGTCCATGTTTTAAAAAAAAAAAAAAAATCTAAAAACTGTGTCACTGAGACGCTCTAGTGCCCCAATGCTTTGGAGCAAGGACTTATAATTTGGCAGTGGAGGGAGGGGACTTGTCCTAGCACTGGAGAGAGATGCCTTTTACCATCTCTGTAAAAATCCGTTCAAATTTGGCCAAGTTTGCACATCTGAAAATCTGTTTGCACATTTACTCAGTAGAGACTTGAAATCTTTGGAAAACTTTGCCACCAAATTCTAACATCTCTGCTGGATGTGCTCCCGACTTTCCCTGCAAATGCTGTTCCTACTAGTCAGGGGTTACTGGTGCCAAAAAAAGGAACTTAAGAGTAGAAAGATTCCTTCCTCTCAGTGCTCCCCCTGCTGTTACCCTAGCAGCAAGGATGAGAAAGAGGAAAACTGATTGGAATGCAAAGGTGTGAGGCGCAAGCCCTGGGGGGGGTCAGGGAATGGAGAGATGAGAGGGAAGACTGGGACAAGGGGCTGAGGGATGGAGAGGAGACTTTGTATATACGGTGGTGGATTCTCATCACTGGCCATTTTAAAATCAAGATTGGAATTTTTTTTAAAGGTATGCTCTAGTTCAAACACAAATTATTTTGGGGCAGTTCTATGGCCTGTGTTATACCAGAGTTCAGACTAGATAATCATAATGGTCCCTTCTGACCTTGGAATCTATCCATACATCTATCTATGTATAGATAGATATAGTGTGTGTATACTACAGACAAATGTAAAAAGTGTGTGTCCATAAGATTGTATAAATATAAATTTTTTAAAATAAACGTAATTCTAATTGGAATAATTACTTTTTGTCTGTCTAAATTAGCCTTGCAGTTTCAGCTGCCAATGGTATTCCTAGTTCCCTGCTCTAAACTGCGATGTGTCATTGCTGTAGTTAAGCCCAGTTATGGCAGCATTTTAGCAGTGAGGTGAAAGCATTCATATGTAGTTTACTAAAGCACGTTTTCATTCTTTGGAATGAAAGGTACTATAAAAATGAAAGGTATAAAAAGTGAAGCATGTAAACACCAGAGGAGGAGGAGAATTGTTTAGGGTAGATCAAGAATGTGTAACTAGGAGTCATAGTATGAAACTGAGGTAAGGAAAAATATCCTAATGGATTTCTGTTACACTCAGTGGAATAGTCTTCAAAGATAAGAAGTGGAAGTTTTTATGTTCAAGTCATTTAATAGTACAGTAGATTAAACGAAGTACTGAACAGGACAATCTTGCATTTTTAGAGAGATGGGGATTTTGATTTAGTTGGGGATTGGTCCTGCTTTGAGCAGGGGGTTGGACTAGATGACCACCTGAGGTCCCTTCCAACCCTGATATTCTGTGATTCTATGGGCAAGATAACCTAATAGATATTTATCATCTCTGATATCTTTGATTTAGTGGCATGCAAACAGCATTGAAATTAAGCTGATTGTGCTTTCCTTACTCATGTTAGGGATTATATTAATTTGAGATTTTATGGAAATGTTTTTTTTAAATACCTGCCTAAATATTCATAACATGTTTCCATATGAGATGCGAAAGATATTGGTATTCAGTAACATTCAGTATATAATTGCATTTAATAATATGCTGTAGACTGTCCAACCTAACACTTGAATAAATTGCAGTAATTTAAAGCATTGGAAGCCTAGTGACTTTTAAATGGTGCATAAAAATCTAAAATGTTTTGACTTACCATACAGAGTGAAAACAGAGCCATTATAGCAGTTCTCAGCATGTGAGGCAAAAAATGACAACCCAAGGGCAGATCCCATAAAGGCTGCATAAGACGCATTAGTTCAGGTTTTTTGATGTATTGTGTGGGCTTTTGTGACATGGAAACAAAACATAGTTTTAGTGATTAATTCAATGTGAATTTTTTAGTTCATTGCCGATCTCGGAGCCTTTTTTTTTGAGAAGCTGTGATTTACATGAAGGGAAAGATTTGATGCAGTCCTTTTAGCAGGCATCCACATGGCTCCTGTATACAGTCAGAATGGGATGTTAACAAATGTGAGAGATTTCACTGCTGTTCTGGAGGGAGAGGGGGGCGTGGAATTAATTTACAAAGAAAGTCCAAATACTAAAGAAAGCTAGTAAATGGCAAAATTGTGCAGTGTACAAGATCTCTTTAAATAGGGTGACCATCCGTCCCGTTTTTAAAGGGACAGTCCTGTTTTTTGGGACTTTTTCTTATATAGGCACCTATTACTCCCCACCCCTTGTACTGTTTTTTTCACAGTTGCTATCTGGTAACCCTATCTTTAAATGTAGTTTTTCTGGTGAGAAGAATTGACCCCATTAAAATTCTTCCTCCATAATTAAACTTATTAAAGCTTTTGATTCATTGAGGATATTCATATAAATTAAGTGGCTGTGTACAGTATAGTACCCTACCTCACTGTTTGACTTCTTTTTGCTTAGGTTAGGAGTATCTCTTCAGGCCTGTCTCCTACAGATTGTAGGGTACAGAAATCTGATTGCAGAGGTTGAAAAGCTGCGCAGAGAGCCATATGATTCAGAGAATCCCCAACATGAAGAGATGCTTCTAAAGGTGAGTGCTGAAATCACTTTGACATAGAACACTTGATTCCTGGTGATTCCACATGCCCTATTTGTAAAAGCGTCATACGCAGTTTACACAGGTGGTACTTAACTTCCTCCATGCTCTCTTAAAATGGCATATTTCAGCAGTATTCATCAACACAGGTTGTAAGTTGCTAGGCATGCAGCTACCCTGCACTTATTTATGAACATATCATAGATTTACAGGCTCTGTGCCATGCCCCAGCCTTTAAACAGTCAGACCTTCAGGGACTCACACTTTTCCAGAAGGGTTGGCCACATGGCCTCAACGCCTCCGAGACTGGCCTTTGGGATCCAACAATCCCTGTTTCTTGGCATGAGCTAATAACTGTGAATCCCGTTGAGGTATACTCCTGTTCAGAGACTTTCCACTCCCTTTGGGGATCAGTGCACATCAGTAAGTAAACCAGCAACAACAGGAAATCTTTTCCAAAGCAGGATAGGTTTTAATAGTCAACTGGAATACAGTGTTGGGAAATCCTTAAGTTAGCACAAAGAACCAAAGGTTAAGACAGAATTCATATGGGCTAAAGCCAGGGCTTCATTAGGCCAGCTTGTTCTGGAATCCATCTTAGCACTCTCACACTGTCCCTTTGTCTCTCAGTCCTAAGTGAAAGCGCCTGTACACGTCTGTCTCATCTTACGCTGGGGTTACGTTCCGCAGTCAGCGCGTAAAGCAAAAACCGCGTATAGTCAAAATTACATTGAGTGTAATGGCGGGCTGAATCGCCCACACTACAGGAACAGTATTTAAATTGTTATTTTTCTCTTTTGTTGTTGTTGTTTGTTGCCGACCGCATAAAGCTGAATTCACGCAAGTTAAATGCACGTAAGATGCGACAGACCTGTATGTCTGAGAACCCTGTACTTGTCACAGGCCCCTGACACCTTCACTCCATTGTTCTCTGGCTAGGGATTTGAGCTCTGCTTCCCTTCAGAAAGGTGGAGGAAAGGAAGTAATTTGCCCTATGAATTAATCTTCGGTCATGGCGGTTTACTGTAGAAACTTCCATTCAAATATGTTGATTCCAGCCAGCTCTTGATGGTGAATTCATACCACCTCAGACATCTACATGATCCAAGCACCTTATGCCTTTCCTCTTGTCAGGCTGTCATGCTGTGACTCAGGAGCGTGAGTGCCAATCTCAGGGCAGACTGTTACCAACCAGGTCACAAACCCCAAACTGATTGTGGGTTCTGTAATTAGATTTCACCAACAAATCATCAAGTATAAACTCCTGAGGCACTATAACAGCTTTAACATGGAGTCACAAACTGTCATCTTGGGTACTCCAATCTGTCTTGCCACCCAGGTAAGCTTTCATTTGTGACAGAGATGGTACCTTACATCATGAATCACAGCAACATTCAGGCTACTTCTGGTCCCAAAGGACCTTTCACCAGGTCAAATGCACCTTAGATCTCACACCAAAGACAACGCTTGTAGCCAGTCCTATAATAAACTATGTACAGATTTAATAAAAAGAAAAGGAAATAAGAGAGTTACTTACAAGGTTAAAGCTGATAAACATACATAGATAAATGAGTTCCAATCGTAAGTTTCAAAAAAGTAATAGAAACTTCTATAATAAGCAAGCTCTATATGTGCTTTAGGGCTAATCCAGGGTAAGCACTAGGGATCTTTTGCTTATGCCTAGTAATCCTTGCTCCCTAGAGTCCGAGCAGCATAAACATACAGTTCTTCCTTGTTAGAGGTTTTTATTCCTTCCCCCCACCCCCCTTCTGCTCTGAGTGGCAAACTCAGTTGATGGGAGGAATCCACTTGCAAAACCCATCTTCATGGGGGAGGGGGAGTAAACAACAAAGTCTTTTGTCCTCTTTAATGTTCCATTGTAACCCTTCTGGTGTCAATGGACCTTCCTCCTTGGGCAGGACGTAACACCTTCTGTTGGAGACCAGCATTTCATATTACAATAGAACCTCAGAGTTATGAACACTTCAGAGATGGAGGTTGTTTGTAACTCTGAAATGTTCATAATTCTGAACAAAACATTATGGTTGTTCTTTCAAAAGTCCACAACTGAACATTGACTTAATATAATTTTGAAACTTTGCTATGCAGAAGAAAAATGCTGCTTTTAACCATCTTAATTTAAATGAAACAAGCACAAACAGTTACCTTACATGGTGGTAAAAAAAAATGTAAACTTTCCCTTTATTTTTTTTTTTTGGTAGTTTAACACAGTACTGTGCTGTACAGTATTTGCTTTTTATTGTGTACTTCTGCTTCCAAATGAGGTGTGTAGTTCACCAGTCAGTTCATAACTCTGGTGTTCGTAACTCTGAGGTTCTACTGTAGTTAATCAAAAACAACAAGGAGTCTGGTGGCACCTAAAAGACTAACAGATACTGTAGTTAATGTCTCTCTCCTCGTCTGGTGAGCTACACAGTTAAAGAGGCTTACAGTGCAAACACTTAAATATTACTTTAGAATGTGGGATACAGATGTTATAAGTGAGATTAATGCATGCAGCAACTCACAAGCATTCAGTAAAGTCTAAACACATACTTGTAATTCTCACACCTATTTTAACAGTACTAACACACAGGTGAGCCAGACTGATTTCAGCTGTGTATTTGTCAGTATTCAATGGAGGCCTGGGGACCTTGGCATGGCCTGGCACTAGGTCTGCCAGTGTCACACCTCTGTTCTAGGAGAAGCATTTTAACCCCTCTACTCCCAGTGGGTAAGAATGCAAAGTCTGATGGGGGAGACATGTTCACAAAAATCATGCCAAAAATTCCCACTTTTGTCACCAACACAAAGCCTAGAAATGTGTTCTGCCATTTGGACGAGCCCACAGATGTCTATCACTTACCTGACTGACAATCCCACGCGCTTGCTGCCTTTGGCAATAGAACTGAGCTGTCATTTTTGTAGTGAAGGACTGTCTGAATATTTCCTTCAAGAAAAGAACCAAGTTTATTTTCTCCAGCATTAGGCAAAGTAAATTCTCTTGTTTTTGAATGTGTTGACTTCTTACACCAGAAGCAGACCTCCAGCTATGATTATTTCAAAATCAGGTGTGTGGGGGTGGAGGTGGGGGTTGAATATATATAAAAGCTCGTATATAATAATATACAATTAAAGTAATATTGCAGTCAGCTCTGGTTTCCAGGTTACATAGAGTCAAAGCTGACTAGTCTAGTGAGTTTTCAGTGCTGCTCTTCAGAATCATTGTTGGCAGCAGTGAAACTGATAGGAATCAGATCAGAATCACTGTGCAATTCTTTGGGGACAGCCCTGTGCTTAAGCAGAAGCAGGCACTCGCCTTATTCACTAAAGAACAGGGCTCAAAAACAGAAGCTATGGGATGGGATAGGGCAGCGGAGACCCCTCCCTTCTTTGTAGCAGTCAGAGCTGAAGAAGGGGTAGAGTAATGGGGAAAGTATCTATTGCCATAATGATTCAGCCCAATGTTTCATATAGTCCAGTATCCTATCTCCAACAATGGCCAGGACCAGATGCTGAAGCTGGTACAAGAAGCTCTGCAATAAGTGGTGAGGGGATAACCTGCCCCAAGGAAAATTTTCCTCCTAACACACCTATCTCACCCAGCAAATTCCTGAAATAGAGCTCTTCTCATCATGAATAAACTTGAACAGTCTTTGAAAAACAAACATTTGATTGTTTTATTAAAAGTTATAATTGGTATCTCTGAATAGCACCATCATCATCTGCAGCATCATTTGTAACTTTGCAGAATGATAGCCTAGGGTGAGTCATTTCAAGGAGTCACTTGGGAGTCATTGAAATCCATGGGAGGTAAGTGCCTAAGTGCTTTAGAAAATCCCAGTAAGCACTTATCTGCATCTTTAATTCCCTAAATAATTTAAAAAACCTGGCCACCCCCAAGTGCCTGAATCTCTTTGGGATGTAGGCTCCTAAATCATATAGGTGCTTTAAAAAAATTTTTCTCCTAAATTAGAACTAAAGCCAGATAGAAACTGATGATAATAAGAAAAACATTTGTGCAAATTTCATTTTAAACAGTAAAGTTCTTCCTGTTTTTAAAATAAGGACATTGATGTCCATTCTCCACTATTTGCCTCCCATACCATTTATCAAGCATCAGTTTACAGCATGCTTTCAACATAAGAGTTAGTGAATACCAAATAACGGTCTGTCTGGGACTTCGATTTGTTTTCAGTTCACATCAGGGAAGATTAGGTTGATTCCTCCTCATTGTTTCTAGACATTCTGATTAAATGATCTCTCCAGTGGGAAATTCTCCAAGTTCTTAATGGTTATTATTTATTCATGTTACCAGAAGGACATTTTGTGAGATAAAGTAAAGATTTATCCAATGTGATTGAACTAGCGAAGAATAATATTGATGCATTGAATACAGTTTCTGGCTGTGTAAGCAAGAATTCAGAAATGTGCTTAAAATATTTCATTCTGTTGCATACCATGATAAAACAGGAAATGTTAATAAAGATAAAGCTTAATTTTTTAGAAGTTGAACAGATGGTTTTATAAAGTTTTAAAAATTAAAATGCATTTTGAATTCTAGAATGTGAAGTTTCTGTAATATTATAAATTATGAGTTCTGGAATTTCATTCCCCCCCCCCCAGTATTTAATGATTTTTTGCACTTCAAGAATGCTTTTTCATACGAGTGCTCCTTGAGACATTGGTCAAGAGTATATGAGTGAGCTGGTAATATGGTGATAGTAGATTTTGGATTAACAACAGTTGTCTTATTCACATCAGAATGAGCAAATGTATTGCTTTATGCCATGGTATATAAATATGTACATTGTGTGCCTCTTATTTGAATAATCCTGACAAATTAAGCATTTTATTGGGTGCCCATCGCTGTGGTATCTAGGCATGGTATTCACTGTGGATGTAGTTTCATAAACAGCTTTAAAATGGTGACTGTAAAAAGATATGTAGGAGCAAAGGCATCTAAAATGCCTATGAAAATGACCCATCTCTCTGACTATCCATACCCACAACTAGATACTATGGACCAATGAAGCTAGTTTGATTTACACCAGCTTGTTAAATCATGGTAATTTTTTCTTTTGTTATTTTTATGTGAGCTCAGTGAAGGCCTCGTCCCTGAATTAAGTATGAAGGTGAATTATGCCATTCCTGGTTAGGTTCTCTTTTATACTTTCAGTGCAGTGTTAGCCAAGTCAGCACTCTCATTTTCCGATAATTCTAGAGTATTGAAAAAGATGTATGAGAAAAGATTGCTGCAGAGCCTTATGGAACTGAGAGGGCTGATTTGCCTGCTGGCATGTCAGTTATTTACAACAAAATGCTAACGTATTTCTGACTCTGCTTATGGAGGCAGTTTCTATTTCAGTGCATAAAGTATAAAGAAATGAGTGCTTGTGAGGGTTTGTACAACTCTTGTATAATGTCAAAGGGGGTTTCTTAGGGTAGTATTTGAACTGTTTGCAGTATTAAAGACAAATTTTTAGGGGCTGGTACCTGGCCACAGGCTCTGGTTGCTGAATGCTATGCATAGTGATGCACTTAGGTTGCATGGAGAATTTCATAAAAATGAAGACCTACGATGTACATGAAAACTTAATCGTTAACTTCTCTGTAATATTCCTAGTTATGGAAATGTTTGAAGCCTGATTGCCCACTGGAAGCTCGGATTTCGAAGCAGTGGTGTGAAATTGGTTTCCAAGGAGACGATCCTAAAACAGATTTTAGAGGGATGGGCCTCCTGGGATTATATAACCTGTTGTAAGTAGATACACAGATACTTGAGTTTGAAGATGTAATGCTACTTCTACTAATATAACACACATGTTGATATTGTTAAGTTTATAGGCATAATTCCTGAAACACTAAAGACTAATCTCAGAAAACTGTGCCAAATAAAAACAATTTTCTCTTGAGATGGAAATATTTCTTTAAAAAAAAAAAACTTTTTTACTTAAACCACAAATCTTGAAGTTTAGACAATGCACATGGTTTACTGTGGTAATTCTGTTTCTTATGTTGTGTTTGGACTCATTTGTGAAACATTAAACAAACATGAGAACAGAAACATTTCCGTTAGGCATATAGCATTTATTTTGCTTTATAGTATTTTTTTGTGTGTAAAGATATACTCTGTAAAAAATATAAAAAACTTGTCTGTCTGCCTATATATGTTTGCTCCTTTTGGGAGTTTTGTTCTGACTTATTGGTTGGAACTGGTAAAGTGCCATCACTGTTAGTTGTTGTCTGTAGTTAGATCACATTCAACCTTATAATTAGATCCTGAAAGAAATATAGCTATGATTGCTTTGGTGAATTTTAAATAGCCATTTATTTTTTCATTATTTGCTAACATAATATCTGGCCGTTTGATTTTTGACATCTCTGTCATTATTAAATAACACAAAAATCCTGTGCTTCTCCCATCCCTCGATCTAAAGATATCTAAGTATTTTACAATTGTTTAATAAACTACTCCTCACAACATCCCTGTGAGGTCAGGGAAATGTTTACTTCATGGTACAGAGTAGGAATCAGAAAGGTTCAGTGACTCAGCCAATGTCGGTCTGTGACAGAGCTTATCTTAGAATTCTGGCTCCTGGTTCTGAATTCTGAGCTTTAATCACAAGAGAAATTATTCCCATTCTACTTCGCATTGTGATATTGTGATGGTCACAATCTTAGCTGACAATTTGGGAATTGAAAACTGGGGTTCTCCAGAGCTAAAAGCAGGAGCTGCTACAGTTTGAGCTCAAGTGCCACGGCTCTGTAGCTGTGGCTATAACAGACTCTTATCCTGTGTGTATCAGGGACAGAGTTGGGACATGTAACATGCACTCCTTAATATGTACATAAAAATATCGGGATACTTTATATATACACACTGATAGTTTTTAAAATATATTAAAGCATTTTATATACCATCGTACCTATGCAGAACTGCCCTTGGCAATATTTGAAAAGACTGGGACTATTGTATGACCCTAGCTTGCCAGGATTAAGAATTCCCTGACTTTGTTCACAAATTGCATTAAATATTTTAATGTGTGCACCTACAGATATTTTGCCGAACGGGATGCTGCAGTAGCTCAGCAAGTTCTTTCCGATTCTCTTCAGCCGAAATACAGGTAATGCTTGAGGCTAACAATAAATTGGCTTCAAATAAATTTTTGTTAGACTTGCATGCTTGGGTATTGCCATATGCTGTCTCTGGGGCTGTCTCCGTGGAGAGTTAATGCACGGCACAGTGGGATGTAAATCTAGAGCACCCTAGCCTGCCGCGCACTAACTGGCCATACAGACCCTGCTGTCATGTACTAAAAGTTCCCTAGTGCACTTTGACCTACTGCTGTTTGAAATGCTAACTCTCCTTATAGACGAGTCCTGCCTCTAAATTAAAATAGCTAGCTACTGTAAATTAATCAGATTGAGAGGACAAACTCATGTATTCATGTACTGAATCAGACATATAGTTTATTTTATTGCTAAATATTTTCAGTTTATTCCATATTCTTTTAATTTTAAGCTACTTATCTTTTTATGTGCTTTTCTTTAATTCTCTCTTGTCTTTCACAATGAAGGGAAGTCACTAAAGAGGAGCTAAGGTATTGTTTTCTCTCCTTTCAGTTTTGTAAGATTTTACATGTAAATAAAGATCAAACCATATTTGGAGTAAACCCAACATTTATCCAAGTATTCTCCAAGGGTGTACTTGATGTATTCCCTTCTTTAGCTCAATACTGCAGTGGTCACCAAATCTTGCTGGCTGCACAAGGATATGGTGCAATTAAACATGCTGATGTATATAAGATCAAATGTCAGCCTTGCTTCATCATATTTAAAGCAGATTCTGCGTATTGTAGCTACAACTGGTCAAATTATTTGTTGCAAATGAAATGTGTGACAAATTTAGCTCTTTAATTAAAATTCTCAGGTCATGCAAACGGTTCCAGACTTCTGTGACCCTGACTTATTAGTCAGAAGTATTTGCCAAATAGTTTGGGCTAACAGTTTTAATCGTACAAGTTGTTCATGTCAACTGTCTGCTATTCCTTAATTGTGATCACCTGGCTACATTAGCACTGCCATACCAATGGCCAGTGTCAGATACATTAGAAGAAGGTGCAAGAAGCTAATCTAATGAGTATAATGGAAAAGCCTATCTGTAGGGAAAGTTTCTGCCCCTCCTCCCCAAACGCTCAGGCAGTTAGTTGCCCAAAAGAACAAAAATGTTTATCCCTTGTGTTCTCATTATCCACATAAAGAATCCATTTTTTAGTCCTGCTAAGCTCTTGGCCTCTGTAATACCTTGTGACAATGAGTTCCACATGCAATATCACTTCATGTTATCATTTTTAAATTTGTTTGTGTCAATGGACATCTCCTTGCTCTTGTAGTAAGAGAATATGAAAATTGGAACGATCAATTAACTTCTCGGTGCAGTTCCTTAATTTATATACATCTATCATGTGTCTCCTTTAATTCATCTCATCACTAAATGTTTGTGTAGTATACAAGGCAAGCACAAAGTATTATTAAGGCCTGTCAGAACCAGCAGTAGCAATAGGAATAGGATTTGAGACTACCTGACTCCTAGGCCAGTAGTCTTTTTATATCTTATTTATTTTTATTTAAGCAATGGGGGGGGGGGGTGAAGTCCATACAGAAGTTATAGGTTTCAGAGTGGTAGCCGTGTTAGTCTGTATCAGCAAAAATAATGAGGAGTCCTTGTGGCACCTTAGAGACTAACAAATTTATTTGAGCATAAGCTTTCATGGGCTAGAACCCACTTCATCAGATGCATGAAGTGGAAAATACAGGAGCAGGTATAAATACATGAAAGGATGGGAGTTGCCTTACCAAGTGTGAGGTCAGTCTAACGAGACAAGTCACTTAACAACAGGATACCAAGGCAGGAAAGATAACTTTTGAAGTGGTAATGAGTGGTCCATTTCAGACAGTTGACAAGAAGGTGTGAGTAACAGTAGGGGGAAATTAGTATTGGGAAAATAGGTTTAGATTTTGTAATGACCCAGCCACTCCCAGTCTTTATTCAGGCCTAATCTGATGGTGTCCAGTTTGCAAATTAATTCCAGTTCTGCAGTTTCACGTTGGAGTCTGTTTCTGAAGTTTTTTTGTTGAAGAATTGCCACTTTTAGGTCTGTTATTGAGTGACCAGAGAGATTGAAGTGTTCTCCTACTGGTTTTTGACTGTTATGATTCCTGATGTCTGATTTGTGTCCATTTATTCTTTTGCGTAGAGACTGTCCGGTTTGGCCAATGTACATGGCAGAGGGGCATTGCTGGCACATGATGGCATATATTGCATTGGTAGATGTGCAGGTGAACGAGCCCCTGATGGTGTGGCTGATGTGATTAGGTCCTATGATGGTGTCCCTTGAATAGATATGTGGACAGAGTTGGCACCGGGGTTTGTTGTAGGGTCGCTTACAGACAGCTCCCCAACTTGAAGCAAATACTCACCAGCAACTACACACCACACAACAAAAACACCAACCCAGGAATCAAACCCTGCAACAAACCCCGGTGCCAACTCTGTCCACATATCTATTCAAGGGACACCATCATAGGACCTAATCACGTCAGCCATAATCACCATCAGCCATAACCACTAAGAAGTGTTAAATAAAATCATAAATATATAATAAATAATCTCAGCCTGTCAGCTGCATTAACCAGTAAGAAGTGGTAACAAATGATCTCAGCCAGCCATTAAATCAAACCGGTAGGAAAGCTCTTTTCCAGACTCTCTACTTTTGGTAGCCCCACTTCTTCTTACTGCGCTTCATAATAAACAAGTGAATTTTATCACAAACATGCCTTTTTGAGTGCCGTAGTGCAAATAATTTTCAGTTCTCAGAAAAATTGCAATAAGCAATCCTAGATAAAAGCAGCTGTTAGTGTTGTAAGGCACAGACAATAATTCGTGCACCTTTAGATGGAATGCAGTGTCTGTCCCACAGCACAGCTGTGTAGGGCTGGAAGTGAAAGGCACCAGAGGAGGTATTTAGGTAGCCAAAGTGTAACTCCTTCAATGAGAATTTGGTTAGGATATTAATTTTATATTTCATCTGAACCATGGCTTTTCTCTCCGCACGTGGGTTTGGTATTGATTCATTGTGTGTTGCTATTGAATTGCCAAAACCACTTCCTCCAGCACTTTCCTTAGAAGGCTTCCATCTAAAGACTACCCTGGCCTGACCCACCTTAGTTTGTGAAAGCTTTGTTTTGTTTGTTAATTTCGATAAATTATAAATAATTTCTATTTAAAAAAAAAAAACCTACTTCCTAATTTGCAATATTGTAAACATAGAACCAATTATTATACCCAAGGCAAATAATGTTTTACACCTAATGTGAGCTTTCTCTTGGAAATGTTTCTATTGCATGGAAGCCGGTAGTAATATTTAATGTTAGAAAACATTGATTCAAAATGACCACACTATATTGTTGCCAAAGACATTTATATCTTAGCAAAATCTGAAAAGAGCCATTTCCTACAGACTTTAGCTTTGTATCTTTCAGTTATTATTATACACAGCTTCTTTTTAATTTCTTTATTAAGTTCAGTTTGTTTCATTTTTAGCAGAGTTTGCTTCATTTCCAGTTGGTCTTACCCAATCTTTATATTGCTCACTCTATGGATGGGGGACAGTTTTTTGTTTTTGTTTTGTTTTTTTACCATTACCATCTTCATGAAAGGAAATTTGTCTTTGCTAATAAACAGGGTGTGTTATGTTCATTTTTAAATGGTTTTGTCCTTCAGTGTAAAAAAAATAAAGATCTTAATTAAAATTTTCATTAGTTTACATGACAAATTGAATTTGGATTATGAGCCTTTCTATGCTAGGGAATTTTGCACCAATGTAGCTACGCAAGCACTCTGTATATTCCAATGGCCCATTTGTGAGACAGGGAATATGAATTCCATTAGTATTCTTCATTTACATGTTACGTTACTTAGAAACCTTTTGGAATGCTGTATATGAGCATGCGTGCTCCATCCTTGAAAGAGCATCCACAAGAGGGTAAAATGCTTCTAGTGATGCTCTTTGTGTTTGCTGATTGTTTGTTTAGTGGTTGTGCTGGTGTTCATGTGATGATGATGAATGTTGCTTCTGTTTCTATTGAATTGTATTACTGGTCTATCTTCTCATTTAGCAATTCGTTATCTTCATTTGAAGACACCACTGAGCCTGTTCCACCTTCCACTATGATAATATGACACTAAATGTGGACACTTTTAAACGTGGTGTCTCCTTCACTGGGCCAGTAATAAACCCCCTTCAGCCTTTCACCAAATTGCATGAGATGAAAACAAAGTTTTGGCGATTGGGAAGATAAGCAGATCAGATTCTGATGAATGTGTGCACGAATCCTTGTTCTGCTCATATCTTTAATATCTTTTGGAGGACTAAATGTGGATCTTTCTAATCGTGCAAAAATTATTCTAAATGATATGTACACGGAAGTATGTACTGTATAATATAGTCTGATTTCTCACAATTCAGGTGCAATCTAAACATGGCATTTGGCTGTATTGTTTGCACTCAAGTATATTTCCCTATAGTGGGTCCAAACTCTGAAAATTCTCCTTAGTGCTTATTCAGGCAAAACTCCCGTTAATGTCATTGGGATTTGGCATATACGGTTCAGCTATGCCAGTGAAACCTCAGTTAATTGACACTTGTAAACTGTATCAAATTACCTTTTCTAGAAATCTTTCCATTGTCAAACCCTAGTTTGTATTCTCTTACATCCTGAAAGATAAAGAAGTTCCTTTGTTAATTGTCTGTTGTGAGTGATGTGTAAGCATCTAAAAACTGCTCTAGACTTCCTTGTAATTAGGCATTAAATATGGCTGCTTTTTAATTTACTCCGATTAATAAAAAGCATATTCTTTAAGATAACATTTCCCCTATCCATTCGCTATTGCAGAAGTACTATTTTTCATGTTCGTTTCAAGTGGTTCATGTCATGTATATCTTGGAGAACACCAAAGGCTAAAGTCATCCTTGATCAAAGTTAAAAGAAATGTAGAGTTTTCAACACTTGTTCAAGTTTAACTGAGGTGGACCATCTTTTTGAAGAGGATACAGAATAGATTGATTTTGACTGGGAGAGTAGCATAGCCACAGCCTCCTTTCAGATTGCACTGATGAGAACAATACATGGATGATGCTATAAGTCAAGGAAGCTAATCTCACTTCAAACCTATTATACCAGTTTGATCAAACTACGGCAAAATCATAGAAGCAAAGTAAAATACTACTAGACAGCTCAACTGCACTTAAAATACCCAGCCTGTGCTAGATAACATTACAGTAGAAAACAAATTGGAAAGCAGTATATGGTAACATCTGAATTCATTTTTTTCCAGCCAATTCAGCAAAGCTGAATGGGAGAAGAAAAAGTTTGATAAGGCAATTGGGTAAGTACAAGATCTTTAAAAATAAGTTGACATAAGCACAATTATGCTGATTGATGTTGTGCATGTAAAAATCTGTTCTCTTTAAAATTTGAATTTAAAAAGTTTTTTTATAATGAAATTTCAGTATTAACAACACCATTTACTATTTTATGCTTATCTTAGCCATACATTGATTATAGCTAATGTACTACTTTTCTAATTGCTTCTTAGTAACCAGAAGGACTTCTTAAAATGATAAGCATTTACTTGTGACTGTGCATAACTGCACATATCAAGGGTTGAATAAACCTCATGAGGTGGGGTCTCACTTTTGACTGTGACTAGACAAGTTGTGATTTATGAACAGGCCACTTGCCAGCAACTGTAATAACAGGATGAGTGGCCTGGGATAAGTGATGTGGGATTTCTAAGCCATGATTTTGGCATTACTGTATTACTTCCTTTGTTTAATGAGAAACACAAATCAAGGGATAATGTCCTTTTTCTTAACACAAGGACCATATTGACTGCTTATTAAAATTCATCTTCCCTGATCATTCACTTTCTTGACTGTGTAGGATGTTGCCCCATTATGCAGATAATTCATTTCTATTTCAAACAGGTCTTTGATCTACAGTGAGGTAACTGAATCATTATACTAGAGATTTATTTACATGTTGTCTGGACTTTTCCCAACAGCAAAGTAAACCTATGGGAATTCAAAGAATATTTTATCCATTTTTATCATTTCCAGTGTCTGCTGGGACGAGCAGGGAGCCTATGCATATTTTTCAACCGGCTCTTTTTATATGTTTAAAGAGACTGTGTAATACCCTCCTAGGAAGAGTTTTGTTAATCTCATGCTGGTCCAAATCTGACATTCTTAACTGTCGGGGTAACTATGTATGTACAATACAGGTGGTAGTTTAAAGTGTAGCAGGACAGTAATAATAAATTACTTGTCATAATGAAAACTGTGTCATGTGTAACACTCCCTTTCTACAATGAGTTCAAGAACACTGAGACTTTAATAAGCAGGTCTTATTCCTCTTTCACAGAAATATTTCCATGGTGCTTCTGTGGAAATGATTAGCAAAATGATGAAACTATTATTTTCAGTGTGGTACAGGCAGATATCATAGGTGTAACACTGCCATTAAAATGTACAGAATAAAGAGGATAAATATTTTCTCTTGTTCTCATTTACTTTGTTCTAAGAACCTTGTCAGATAAGAGGAAAATTAACCAAAGTCAAGCATTATTCTTAAAAACAAAATCTGTGGCACATTTACATCTCCCAGCCTTTTAGTTTCACCAGCATTTCCTATAAATCCTACTCTTTGCTTTTCTTCCAGCTACTCTTTTGCTATTGTTGGCATTAACATAACTGACCTTGCATACAACCTACTTGTGAGTGGTGCGCTGAAGACCCATTTCTACAATGTTGCTCCAGAGGCTCCGACGTTATCCCATTTCCAACAGACTTTCTGTAAGTTTTTGTTTTGTTTGCATTACCAGTAACACTTTCTTAAAACCACTCAGGTCTGGTGAATTGAATGGAACAATGTTGGTGCAGCACGGATGGGCATCATCCTAACCTTATTATTTTATCTTTGTGATGTTTGGACCCCAGAGCATACTGTGTAGGTTGTTGTGCAAAACAGACAGGTGAACGAGTTCAGGAAAAAGGAAAAAAAAAATTTGACAGAGCCATACAAAAGGAATCTTCCCATCTATCCAAGCCAGACCCCTCTCTCTTAATATAATCTTGTATCCGCTTTTCAGTGCTTACCTGCAGAACATCTGTGATAGGGATACACTACAAAGCAGGGATTCAGCACTGCAAACAGGAGTGGTGAACTGACACATTGGCAGCTGGACCTTTTTCAGAAGTATAGTGTTCAGAGGTAAATGTTCCCAGTTCTTATGTCACCCACATGGTATAGGCGATCCTGTTCTCTTTGGACAGCCTTCCACTACCTCAGCACACTGGTGATTAGGGTCTGAATTTTAGCTTTAAAGAAAAATTGAACTTACAAAAATGGGCTTTTCAGGATGAGAAATCCTGTAAATGGTTTGGAGGCCCTAGTGACGGTACGGGGAATCATAGAATCATGGGGTTCAAAGGGACCTCAGGAGATCATCTAGTCCAACCCCCTGCTCAAAGTAGGACCTAATCCCCAACTAAATCATCCCAGCCAGGGCTTTGTCAAGCCTGACCTTAAAAACCTCTAAGGAAGGAGATTCCACCACCTCCCTAGGTAATCCATTCCAGTGCTTCACCACCCTCCTAGTGAAAAAGTTTTTCCTAATATCCAACCTAAACCTCCCCCACTGCAACTTGAGACCATTACTCCTTGTTCTGTCATCTGCTACCACTGAGAACAGATCCATCCTCTTTGGAACCCCCTTTCAGGTAGTTGAAAGCAGCTATCAAATCCCCCCTCATTCTTCTCTTCTGCAGACTAAACAATACCAGTTCCCTCAGCCTCTCCTCATAACTCATGTGCTCCAGCCCCCTAATCATTTTTGTTGCCCTCTGCTGGACTCTTTCCAATTTTTCCACATCCTCCTTGTAGTGTGGGGCCCAAAACTGGACACAGTACTCCAGATGAGGCCTCACCAATGCTCGGATTGCTACCCCTTCCTGCTTCTCCACGTGGGCACTAATGATACTGCTAAGAATGACCTTGAGTGGATCACTGCAGACTACGTGGCTCTGGGAAGAAGGGTAAAGGAGTTTGAGGCACAAGTGGTGTTCTCCTTCACCCTCCCTGTGGAAGGAAAAGACCTGGGTAGAGACCGTTGAATCGTGGAAGTCAACGAATGGCTACACAGGTGGTGTCAGAGAGAAGGCTTTGGATTCTTTGACTATGGGATGGTGTTCCAAGAAGGATTTCTAGGCAGAGACGGGCTCCACCTAACGAAGAGAGGGAAGAGTATCTTTGCAAGCAGGCTGGCTAACCTAGTGAGGAGGGCTTTAAACTAGGTTTACTGGGGGAAGGAGACCAAAGCCCTGAGGTAAGTGGGGAAATGGGATACCATGAGGAAGCACGAGCAGGAGAGCGCAAGAGGGGAGGACTCCTGCCTCATACTGAGAAAGGAGGACGATCAGCGAGTTATCTTCAGTGCCTATACACAAATGCAAGAAGCCTGGGAAACAAGCAGGGAGAACTGGAAGTCCTGGCACAGTCAAAGAATTATGATGTGATTGGAATAACAGAGACTTGGTGGGATAACTCACATGACTGGAGTACTGTCATGGATGGATATAAACTGTTCAGGAATGACAGGCAGGGCAGAAAAGGTGGGGGAGTTGCATTGTATGTAAGACAGCAGTATGTCTGCTCAGAGCTCCAGTATGAAACTGCAGAAAAACCTGAGAGTCTCTGGATTAAGTTTAGAACTGTGGCAACAAGGATGATGTCGTGGTGGGAATCTGCTATAGACAACCAGACCAGGGAGATGAAGTGGACGAGGCTTTTTTCAGACAACTAACAGAAGTTACTAGATCACAGGCCCTGGTTCTCATGGGGGACTTGAATCACCCCGATATCTGCTGGGAGAGCAATGCAGCAGTGCACAGACAATCCAGGAAGTTTTTGGAAAGTGTAGGGGACAATTTATTAGTGCAACTGCTGGAGGAACCAACTAGGGGCAGAGCTCTTCTTGATCTGCTACTCACAAACAGGGAAGAATTAGTAGGGGAAGCAAAAGTGGATGGGAACCCGGGAGGCAGTGACCATGAGATGGTGGAGTTCAGGATCCTGACACAAGGAAGAAAAAAGAGCAGCAGAATACAGTCCCTGGACTTCAGAAAAGCAGACTTTGACTCCCTCAGGGAACTGATGGTCAGGATCCCCTGGGAGAATAACATGAGGGGAAAAGGAGTCCAGGAGAGCTGGCTGTATTTTAAAGAATCCTTATTGAGGTTGCAGGAACAAACCATCCCGATGTGTAGCAAGAACAGTAAATATGGCAGGCGACCAGCTTGGCTTAACAGTGAAATCCTTGCTGATCTTAAACACAAAAAAAGAAGCTTACAAGAAGTGGAAGATTGGACAAATGACCAGGGAGGAGTATAAAAATATTGCCCAGGCATGCAGGAGTGAAATCAGGAAGGCCAAATCACACTTGGAGTTGCAGCTAGCAAGGAAT